CCCCTGAGGAACCCTCCCAGAACACTTCCAGAACCCTTCCAGGACCCTCCCAAGTCACTTTTGGAACCCCTCCAAGAGGTGCAGGAGCCCAGAACCTCTGAGGAACCCTCTCAGGACCCTTCTAGAATCCTTCCAAGTCACTTTTGGAACCCTCCCAGGACCTGCAGGAGCCCAGAACCCCTCAGGAACCCTCCCAGAACCCTCTGAGGAACCCTCCCAGAACCCTTCTAAGTCACTTTTGGAACCCCTCCAAGACCTGCAGGAGCCCAGAACCCCCCGAGGAACCCCTGCCAGAACCCTCCCAGAACCCTTCCAAGACCTACAGGAGCCCAGAACACCCCAAGAACCCTCCCAGGATCCAGAACACCCCAAGAACCCTCCCAGAACCATCCCAGGACCCTCCCAAGTCACTTTTGGAACCCTCCCAAGAGCTGCAGGAGCCCAGAACCCCCTGAGGAACCCTCCCAGAACAATTCCAGAACCCTTCCAGGAACCCTCCCAAGTCACATTTGGAACCCTTCCAGGACCTGCAGGAGCCCAGAACCCCTCAGGAACCCTCCCAAAACCCCCTGAGGAACCCTCCCAGAACCCTTCTAGAACCCTTCCAAGACCTGCAGGAGCCCAGAACCTCTGAGGAACCCTCCCAGGACCCTTCCAAGTCACTTTTGGAACCCTTCCAAGAGCTGCAGGAGCCCAGAACCCCCGAGGAACCCTCCCAGAACACCCTGAGAACCCTCCCAGGATCCTCCAAAGTCACTTTGGGAACCCTTCCAGAATCTGTAAGGGCACCAGAACCCTCAGCAACCCTCCCAGAAACCCTTCTAGAACCCTTCCAAGTCACTTTTGGAACCCTTCCAAGACCTGCAGGAGCCCAGAACCTCTGAGGAACCCTCCCAGAACCCTTCTGGAACCCTTGCAGGAGCCCTGAACCCCTGAGGAACCCTCCTAGGAACCCCAAGAACCCTCCCAGAACCCTTCTAGAACCCTCCCAAGTCACTTTTGGAACCCTCCCAAGAGCTGCAGGAGCCCAGAACCACCTGAGGAACCCTCCCAGAACCCCTCAGGAACCCTCCCAGAACACTTCCAAGTCACTTTTGGAACCCTTCCAGGACCTGCAGGAGCCCTGAACCCCTGAGGAACCCTCCCAGAACCCTCCCAAGACCTGCAGGAGCCCTCAACCCCTCAGGAACCCTCCCAGAACCCTCCCAAGTCACTTTTGGAACCCTTCCAAGACCTTCAGGAGTCCTGAACCCCTGAGGAACCCTCCCAGAACCCTTCTAGAACCCTTCCAAGTCACTTCTGGAACCCTTCCANCACTGGCCGTGGATGTCCATGACGTCGGTGATGTCCGCCCGCTCGCCGCTGTCGATCAGGAGGTGCAGGGAATCCGTGTTCCCGTTGGCAGCTGGGCACGGGAACGGGAAACGGGAGGAGGAAACGGGAGGAGGAAAAATGGGGAGAGGAAAAAGGGAGCAGGAAAATGGGATGAAGAAAAAGGAGGAGGAAAAAGGAGGAGGAAAAGAGAAGAGAAAATGGGAGGAGGAAATGGGAGGAGGAAAAAGTAGGAGGAAAATGGGATGAGGAAAAAGGAGAAGGAAAAGAGAGGAGAAAATGGGAGGAGGAAATGAGGGAGGAGGAAAATGGGATGAGGAAAAATGGGGAGAGGAAAAGAGGGAGGAGGAAAAAGGGAGGAAGAAAAAGGAGAAGGAAAAGAGAGGAGAAAGTGGGAGGAGGAAAAGAGGGAGGAGGAAAAATGGGAGGAGGAAAAATGGGGAGAGGAAAAAGGAGAAGAGAGGAGAAAATGGGAGGAGGAAATGGGAGGAGCAAAAAGGAGGAGGAAAATGGGATGAGGAAAAAGGGAGGAGGAAAAGAGAGGAGAAAATGGGATGAGGAAATGGGAGGAGGAAAAGGGGGAGAAGTAAAAGAGGGATGAGGAAGAGGATGAGGCAGAGACAAGGAAAGTAGAGATGAGCAAAGGGGATGAGGAAGGACAAGGAAAAAGGGACGAGTCAGAAACCCCCAAACCCTCAGGAAGGGTTTTGGGTTCTGTAGGGCCCCATCCCACCCCTGCAGGACCCAGAACCCCTGAGAACCCTCCCAGGACCCAGAACACCCTGAGAATTCTCCCAGGACCTTCCCAAGACACTTTGGGAACCCTTCCAAGAGCTGCAGGAGCCCAGAACACCATGAGAACCCTCCTAGGATATTCCAGAACCTTCCCAGGACACCCCAAGAACCCTCCCAGAACCATCCCAGAACCCTTCCAAGTCACTTTTGGAACCCTTCCAAGACCTGCAGGAGCCCAGAACCCTCTGAGGAACCCTCCCAGGATCCTCCAAAGTCACTTTGGGAACCCTTCCAGGACCTGCAAGGGCACCAGAACCCTCAGCAACCCTCCCAGAACACTTCCAGAACCCTTCCAGGACCTTTCCAAGACACTGTGGGAACCCTTCCAGGACCTGCAGGAGCCCAGAACCCCCTGAGGAACCCTCCCAGAACCCTTCTGGAACCCTTCCAAGACCTGCAGGAGCCAGAACCCCTCAGGAACCCTCCCAAAACCCTTCTAGAACCCTTCCAAGTCACTTTTGGAACCCTTCCAGGACCTGCAGGAGCCCAGAACCTCTGAGGAACCCTCCCAGAACCATCCCAGGACCCTTCCAAGTCACTTTTGGAACCCTTCCAAGACCTGCAGGAGCCCAGAACCTCTGAGGAACCCTCCCAGAACCATCCCAGGACCCTCCCAAGTCACTTTTGGAACCCTTCCAAGACCTGCAGGAGCCCAGAACCCCTCAGGAACCCTCCCAGAACCTCTGAGGAACCCTCCCAGAACCCTTCTGGAACCCTTCCAGGACCTGCAGGAGCCCAGAACCCCCCGAGGAACCCCTGCCAGGTGCCACCTGCAGCGTGGAGAGGCGTCCACTTCCTCTTCCTCTCCTTGACCAGGGCGGAGGCGCCGTGGCTGGTGAGCACCTGCACGCACTCGCTGGCGCCGCGCTCGGTGGCCAGGTAGAGCGCGGTGCGGCCCTTGTGGTCCCGCACGTCCAGGTTCACCAGCGTCTCCGCCAGGGCCTTGAGGGCTTCACAGTGACCATTGTAGGCCTGGGGACAGCCAGAAACGGCCTTTCGGTACCCAAAGTGTCCCTCAGGAACCCAAAGTGTCCCTCAGGAACCCAAAGTGACCTTCAGGAACCCAAAGTGTCCTTCAGGTAACCAGAATGTCCTTCAGGAACCCAAAGTGTCCCTCAGGTAACCAGAATGTCCTTCAGGAACTCAAACTGTCCTTCAGGAACCCAAAGTGTCCTTCAGGTACCCAAAGTGTCCCTCAGGAACCCAAAGTGTCCTTCAGGTAACCAGAATGTCCTTCAGGAACCCAAAGTGTCCCTCAGGTACTCAAGATGTTCCTTCAGGTACTCAAAGTGTTCTTCAAGTACCCAAAGTGTCCCTCAAGAATCCAAAGTGTCCTTCAGGTATCCAAAGTGTCCTTCACTTCAGGCACCCAAATGTCCCCAGAAAAGTCTCCCGGGTACCCAAAGTGTCCCTCAGGTAACCAGAAATGTCCTTCAGGTACCCAAAGTGTCCCTCAGGAACCCAAAGTGTCCCTCAGGTACCCAAAGTGTCTTCAGGAACCCAAAGTGTCCCTCAGGTAACCAGAAATGTCCTCCAGGCATCCAAAGTGTCCCTCAGGTAGCCAAAGTGTCCTTCAGGAACCCAAAGTGTCCTTCAGGAACCCAAAGTGTCCCTCAGGTACTCAAGATGTTCCTTCAGGTACTCAAAGTGTCTTTCAGGTAACCAGAATGTCCTTCAGGAACCCAAAGTGTCCCCCAGGTAACCAGAAATGTCCCTCAGACACCCAAAGTGTCCTTCAGGTACCCAAAGTGTCCTTCAAGTGCCCAAAGTGTCCTTCAGGAACCCAAAGTGTCCTTCAGGCACCCAAATGTCCCCAGAAAAGTCTCCCAGGTACCCAAAGTGTCCTTCAGGAACCCAAAGTGTCTTCAGGAACCCAAAGTGTCCCTCAGGTAACCAGAATGTCCTTCAGGTACCCAAATGTCCCCAGAAAAGTCTCCCAGGTACCCAAAGTGTCCCTCAGCAACCCAAAGTGTCTTCAGGAACCCAAAGTGTCCCTCAGGTAACCAGAAATGTCCCTTGGGCAACCAGAAAAGTCCCTCAGGTAGCCAAAGTGTCCCTCAGGCAGTCCAAGTGTCTCCCAGCGACCCAAAGTGTCCTCCAGGTACTCAAGATGTTCCTTCAGGTACTCGAAGTGTCCCTCAGGTAACCAGAAATGTCCCTGGGTACCCAAAGTGTCCTCCAGGTACTCAGAGTTTCACCCAGGTACCCAAAGTGTCCCTCAGGTACCCAAAATGTCCTTCAGGTAACCAGAAATGTCCCCTGGGTACCCAAAGTGTCCTCCAGGTACTCAGAGTGTCACCCAGGTACCCAAAGTGTCCTTCAAGCAACCAAAGTGTCCCTCAGGTACCCAAAGTGTCTTCAGGAACCCAAAGTGTCCCTCAGGTAACCAGAATGTCCTTCAGGAACCCAAAGTGTCCCTCAGCAACCCAAAGTGTCTTCAGGAACCCAAAGTGTCCTTCAGGTACCCAAAGTGTCCCTCAGGTACCCAAAGTGTCCCTCAGGTAGTTGGAGGGTTCCTCGGGTAGTCAAAGTCTCACCCAGCCACCCAAAGTGTCCTTCAGGTACTCAGAGTTTCACCCAGGTATCCAAAGTGTCCCCCAAGTAACCAGAAATGTCCCTCAGACACCCAAAGTGTCCTTCAGGCACCCAAATGTCCCCAGAAAAGTCTCCCAGGTACCCAAAGTGTCCCTCAGGTAACCAGAAATGTCCCTTGGGCAACCAGAAAAGTCCCTCAGGTACCCAAAGTGTCCCTCAGGTAGCTGGAGGGTTCCTCAGGTAGTCAAAGTGTCACCGAGCGACCCAAAGTGTCCCTCAGGTACTCAAAATGTTCCTTCAGGTACCCAAAGTGTCCCTCAGGTAACCAGAAATGTCCCCTGGGTACCCAAAGTGTCACCCAGCCACCCAAGGTGTCCTTCAGGTACTCAAGGGTGTCACACAGGTAACCAAAGTGTCCTTCAGGAACCCAAATGTCCCTGTCCTGCACCCACAAGTGTCTCCTAAAGCACCCCCTGAGCACCCAGAAATGTCCCCACCAGAAATGGCACCCCCAGAACCCTTCCAGGACCCACAACACCCCAAGAACCCTTCCAGGACACTGTGGGAACCCTTCCAGGACCTGCAGGGGCCCAGGCCACCCCAGAACCCTCCCAGAATCCTCCAGAACCTTTCTAGGACACTTTAGGAACCCTTCCAGGACCTGCAGGAGCTCAGAACCCCTCAGGAACCCTCCCAGAACCCTCAGGAACCTCCCAGAACCTTCAGGAACCTCCCAGAACCTTCAGGAACCTTCCAGAACCCTCAGGAACCTTCCAAGACCCTCCAGAACCCTTCCAGAACCCCTCAGAAACCTTCCAAGACCCTCAGGAACCTTCCAGAACCCCTCAGGATCCTCCCAGAACCTTCCAGGACCCTCAGGAACCTTCCAGAACCCTCAGGAACCTCGCAGGACCCTCAGGAACCTTCCAGGACCCTCCAGAACCTTTCTAGGACACTTTAGGAACCCTTCCAGGACCTGCAGGAGCTCAGAACCCCTCAGGAACCTCCCAGAACCCTCCAGAACCTCCCAAGACCTTCAAGAACCTTCCAGGACCCTCAGGAACCTCCCAGATCCCTCAGGAACCTCCCAGGACCCTCAGGAGCCTCCCAGAACCCTCCAGAACCTCCCAGAACCCTCCAGAACCTTCCAGAACCCTCAGGAACCTTCCAGAACCCTCAGGAACCTCCCAGAACCCTTCCAGGACCCTTCCAAGACCCTCAGGACCCTTCCAGGACCCTCAGGAACCTCCCAGAACCCTCCAGAACCCTCAGGAACTTCCCAGGACCCTCAGGAACCTTCCAGAACCTTCCAGAACCTCCCAGGCCCGCAGCACTCACAGCTAAGTGCAAAGGGCTGACTGGAACGGTGCTTTCCACATCCTCCAGGCAGTTAAAGGACATTTCCAGGAGCTGCAAAGGACAAAAAAATCCAAAATCCAAATCAACCCTGAGGTGCACAAGGGCAAAAAGTCCAAAATCCCAAAAA